TAACAGGTGTTAGGTGGTGCACGAGCGGCCGGTAGGGGGGGCCCGCTGTGTAGTCCCAGCTACTCGGGAGGCTGGAGGCAGGAGAAATGGCTTAAAACCAGGGAAGTGCGCAGGCTTGCAGTGAGCCAAGATTGTGCACTGCACTCCAGCCGGAGAGGCGACAAAGCGAAGGACTCCGCGTCAAAAACAAAAAAAAAAAAAAAAACCTTTTATGCTAAAACTAAGTTTTTGGGTATTCTTGCATATTGCGAAACATGATTCATCACTGTTATTATTAATGGTTAATAAAGTTAGTTCACATAATGATTAGATTCAGTGGCCCTGGCCATAGTGTTCGCAAAAGCTGCCAACTGGATAGACCTTCTAATGGAAGTATTGTCTGTGATATGTGGCATGTTTTAGTTTGTTAGGATTAAGAATAATTTTCGTATGTTGTTACTTATTGTAGCTCCAACTTATAATGGTCACCTTTTGAGAAATACGACAATCTTTCAACGTCTGTCATGTCTTTGACGGATCTATTAGTTACCTTTTCTTTCTTTATAGTATGATTGTCTTTTAGAAGCCATCATGCAGGGGCTTTGAGGTCCGCCTATGGTACAGTGAGCCAGACTTCCAATACTCATTGGGCCCTCTGGGCAACAAACAAATTAAACAATAAAACAGGCCAAGGTGCAGTGGCTCACGCCTTGTATCCCAGCACTTTCGGAGAGCCGAGGTGGGCGGATCACGAGTCAGGAGTTAGAATGGCGACCATCCTGGTATCGGTGAACCCCGTCTCTACTAAAACTACAAACATTAAGCAGGCGTGGTGGCGGGCACCTGTATTCCAGCTAACTCGGGAGCGGTGAGGCAGGAGAAGCTCACTGAACCCTGGGAGGCGAGTTGCAGGTGGAGCCAAGATCGCGGCACTGGCACTCCGAGCCTGGGCGACAGAGTGAGACTCTGTCTCAAAAATAAATAAATAAACAAATAAAAATCTGTGACTACCTAGGGTTGCTAGGGTTGCTTAAGAAGAGTCTAAAGTTCTGTTATACCTGTGAATGCAGAGGACCCACTTGTTTGCATTAGTAAATTAGTATCAAATTTATTTCACTCTTTTGTGTATCTAAGTGGGAGTATAGCTAAGAGGTATTAGGAAGAGTAGATTTATAATCAAAGTCAAATATGAAAACTCAAAAATGCTACTATGAAGGCTTCACTTGAGAGACATAAATGTTAACTATTATCATGTGCCAGATGCTAGGGCAATTGCTCTGTTATTATCCCCTTTACACAGAATAAAGGGAACAAAAAAGATTAAGTAACTTGCTCAGGTGGAGTCACTACTAAGCTATTTGACCTCTTCCATTCCCCATCAGTCACTTCAAAACTTAACAGAGTTTAGATGACATTGGAATAGTAGAATTTTTAAAAATTCAGTCTTTTCACACACCAAACATAAAAATAAAAGAAGCTGCCAGGCGCAGTGGCTCACATCTGTAATCCCAGCACTTTGGGAGGCCAAGGTGGGGGTTGATCACAAGGTCAGGAGTTTGAGCCCAGCCTTGCCAATATGGTGAAACCCCGTCTCTACTAAAAATACAAAAATTAGGCCGGGCGTGGTGGCTGAAGCCTGTAATCCCAGCACTTTGGGAGGCCGAGACGGGCGGATCACAAGGTCAGGAGATCGAGACCATCCTGGCTAACCCAGTGAAACCCCGTCTCTTACTCAGAGGCTGAGGCAGGAGAATGGCGTAAACCTGGGAGGCGGAGCTTGCAGTGAGCTGAGATCCGGCCACTGCACTCCAGCCTGGGGGACAGAGCGAGACTCCGTCTCAAAAAAACAAAAACAAAAACAAAAACAAAAAAAAGTACAAAAATTAGCCGGGCATCGTGGTGCACGTCTATAGTCCCAACTACTCAGGAGGCTGAAGCAGGAGAATCACTTGAACCCGGGAGGCGGAGCTTGTGATAAGCTGAGATTGTGCCACTACATTCCAGCCTGGGTGACAGTGAGACTCTGTCTCAAAAAATGAATGAATGAATAAATAACTAAATAAAGCCATTCCTTTATGTGCTCTAATATTTTGTGTTATTTAGAGCTTATTGATAATACAAGTGAATAAGAGGCTATTTAAATGATTAAAAAGGGACATGTACCTTTCCTAACCCTTCTCACATGTACACAAGCCCGTATTGTAACTTTAGGCACCAGGAAGTAAACAAATTCAGATTCATTCCACAAGATCAAGTGCCTGGAACTAACTCTGAGGAAAAAAAGTATCCAGTGGGCAATAATTTCAAAGTCCTCTTTACTTCTCCCCTATTGCTGTCATATCTATCTTCAAAACAAAATCTCTTTATGTGTTTACACCAACATGCAAATATCGACCTCTAATTTTTTTGCCTTCTCATGGTTCATTATAATTCACAAGGATCGAATCCTTGAGCCAAAGAAAGACAAGCATGTTGTAAAGCTATGACTTCCCAACATATTGGAAATAATAATCTATTAGCAGGCTATCAGTTTCAAAGATAGTCTTTTTTTTTTTTTTTTTTTTGAGACAGAGTCTCAAGTCTGTCACCCAGGCTGAAGTGCAGTGGCATGATCTCCTCTCACTGCAACCTCCACCTCCCAGGTTCACACCATTCTCTTGCCTCAGCCTCCCGAGTAGCTGGGACTACAGGCGCCTGCCACCACACCTGGCTAATTTTTTTTTATTTTTTTTATTTTTAGTAGAGACGGGGTTTCACTGTGTTAGCCAGGATCGTCTTGATCTCCTGACCTCGTGATCCACGTGTCTCGGCTTCCCAAAGTGCTAGGATTACAGGCGTGAGCCACCACACCTGGCCAAAGATAGTCTTAATAGCTTTGTTAGGATGTCAGGAAATGCTTAGTTGAACAAATGGGATACAAAATTAATATCTCATAGTTATTATTTAAACTGCATGAAAATATAGACATGCATTTTCTTTTTTCTTTCTTTCTTTCTTTTTTTTTTTTTTGAGCCGGAGTCTTGCTTGTCACCTAGGCTGGAGTGCAGTGGCGTGATCTTGACTCACTGCATCCTCTGCCTCCCAGGCTCAAGCAATTCTCCTGCCTTAGCCTTCCAAGTAGCTGGGATTACAGGCGCCCACCACCACACCCCGCTAATTTTTGTATTTTTAGTAGAGGTGGGGTTTCACCATGTTGGCCAGGCTGGTCTCGAACTCCCAACCTTGTGATCCACCCACCTTGGCCTCCCAAAGTGCTGGGATTACAGGCATCCACCACCACACCTGGCTAATTTTTGTATTTTTAGTAGAGACGGGGTTTCACCATGTTGGCCAGGCTGGTCTCGAACTCCTGACCTTGTGATCCGCCCACCTTGGCCTCCCAAAGTGCTGGGATTACAGGCGTGAGCCAGTGTGCCTGGCCTAGACATGCATTTTCTTAAAAGCCTGGAGGAAAGATATGAAAAGATTAACAGTAGATGTGAGTGATGGGATTATGATGTTTTCCCCTTCCTATATTTTGGATTTTCTGAATATTCTGCTATGAAAATGTATTATACAATAGAAAAAAAAAAAAAACAGCTTTAGAAAAAAATATCTTGTGAGTGGGGCAGGGTGTCGCAGGACTATAGTTCCAGATACTCAACAGGCTGAGGTGGGAAGATAGCTTGAGGCCAGGAGTTTGAGGCTGCAGCGTGCTACGATTGCACCTGAGAGTAACCACTGCACTCAAGCCTAGGCAACATAGTGAGATCTTCTCTCTAAAAAAAAAAAAAAAGAAAGAAAAAATACCTTATGGAAGATAAAATTTGTCTATTCGTTTTCAATTGAAATATTAAAATACTCGGTAAAGTTAATGTAGGAAACCAAGGCTTTTGATTTTAAGTAGCTAGGAACATGTTCATAGTAAATGAAAAGCATCTATATCATAATCTGTGAAACAGAATCTTACATTCTGAAAAGTCACATAATTAATTTTTAACAAACTGATGATAAATCAGTCCCTTTTTCTTTCATAATTTATTTTATACACACACATCACACACATATGCCACTGTGTGTGTGCATGTATGTGTGTATGAATATATATATTCTAAGGCACAAAAAAGTGCTTCAGAAAAAGATAATGCTTCTAGATCCATCAAAGTTGGAAGTATGTTTGATGTTTTCCAGTAGTGGTGATAAAGTTGCATGCATCTGAGGCGGGCGGATCAGTTGAGGCCAGGAGTTCGAGACCAGCCTGGCCAACATGGTGAAACCCCCTCTCTACTAAAAATACAAAAAGTTAGCAGGGTGTAGTGGTGCATGCCTGTAATTCTAGCTACTTGGAAGGCTGAGGCATGAGAATCACTTGAACTGGGAGGCAGAGGTTGCAGTGAGCAGAGATCATGCCACTACACTGACCAGCCTGGCCAAGATGGTGAAACCCCGTCTCTACTAAAAATACAAAAAAAATTAGCCAGGCGTGGTGACATGCGCCTGTAATCCCAGCTACTCTGGAGGCTGAGGCAGAGAATTGCTTAAACTTGGAGGGGCAGAGGTTGCAGTCAGCCGAGATTGCGCCACTGCACTCCAGCCTGGGCGACACAGGGAGACTCCGTCTCAAAAAACAAAAAAAGTTACATGGATTCAAACACCCATTCTGAGGAGGGTAAACTGCCTGTTTCATAGCTATTTAGAGAGGATGTAAAGTTGCAAGCCACAGATAAATTTGGAAATAACTTATGGTAAAGGCATTGTTTGTCCCCCCTTTTTGTTAGTTACTTAGAGTTTTTCTTTCATATTTAATTTTAGACAAGCCATCTATGATGCATTTGAACGCTTCCTCCATAAATACGCTAACTAATTGGATTATTATATGTAACCAGTGTGGCCAAGATGTTTCTTACAAAAGGAAGCTTCATCCTATGATCATGTGAAGGACAAGCAGACAGCACTAATATATCTAATCGCTA